AGTTGTTGGCCTTTTTCAGTACTTCAGTTCAATTTTTTCACAAGGCACCTCGTTTAAAATGATTGCATAAGGTAAATTTTGGTCGCTAAAATTAAAGTGCTTTCAATGTGAAACACATTAATTATGGGTATGTCACGGGTTAAAAAACATAATTATAATTATTAATGAAATTGGTTCAAGGTACTCTTCTATGCAGTTGTTGTCATGCTTGTATTCAATATATTTTTTGTCAAATTGGCAGCCTATTTGAAAAAATTAATTTAGTTTCAAAATTTTATAACCCACTGTAGTGACCAAAATGGTTGCGCATTTGATCCCTGTTTCTTCCTACTTTACCTGCCTTTCCGTGTAAAAAATTACCTCCTTGAACTATTGCCTGTTCAATGATACTGGAATTCAAAACTATCATTTCAATATTTGAAATGTTTTACAGTTGTACCATGTGTATCACAAATTCACTTTGATTAATACTACTGTACATGCATAATATTAATTATAACATATCACAGATGTTTAGGAAATCAGGTTGGGTTGCCTTTTTTATATAATTAAGTAATTTTTTTATATATTATGTTTTCCTTTTCGTTGTACCATAAGCTGAATGTAGAAAATTATTGTATTCATTATAATTACATGTATCTTTCAGCTTGAGGGTGCAATGAATCGTGTGAAGTTAGATCTTGCAGTGAAAGACTCCCAACCACAAATAAGTATGTGCATCATTATCTGTTGTCACTTACAGTAAATGGATTGTATAATAATCCTGCACATTTGTTGTGTTTGAGAAATCTTGTCCTTTTTCATCCTTTCCTGCTTGCAGTTTATGAAAATATTGTTGTTTTTCATTTCATTTTGTGTAGATGTTGTTGAAGAACTGCACAGAGTTGCCTTTAGGTTTGTTTGTTTGTTGTTATGACTGTGTTGAGATTATGCATGTGCACGCTCATCTGTAATCTTAGTGGAGAACTTTAATATTTTAGTTGGAAATTGCTGACCATGCAGCCCATCCATGGGTGTTTCCTTTAAGGGCCCCCCCCTTAAAGGAAACACCCATGGATGGGCTGAATGGGTGAATGGTATCTGGCAATCTTGGCTTTGGAAATTTTCATCTCGTCTCAAAATCGTGGAAGCCTTTATGATGAGTCATCAAGTCTCATTTTGCTTCTTTTGTTTTTTTTTTTTTCATTCGCTCTGATTGTAAAATCATTTAACTCTTCATCTTGGATTTTCAAACAAGGGAGTCAGCATTTTGGCAAGACTCAGATTTCACCATTTTAATGCCCCTCTTTGTCCTTATAATGTTCAGCCTCAAACACACCTTCCTTGAATGATGTTTTGAGAAAACAAAGGGCCTGTCAACTGTCTAGTGTTTGTGAGGCTCTGAACCAAGTGGACTCCTTGCATTAATTCTTATTACTGTTTTACTTTGTTTCAATTTTAGGAGAACCCTTGGAAATTCCCTTTACTGTTTACCCCACAGAACTGGCAGTTTTACTACTGATGTGGTAAGAGCTTGTGTTGACTACTGTATATGATAAGCTAGTTACCATAGCAATGTATCGACTTGCACTATAAAATATCAAAGAACTGCCAAGGGGCTTATTTGGTACGTGTACATGGTTCAGTCAATAACATTTGAGAGCATAGCTGTCATTAAGGGCTGTAATCCAACAGATGCACCTGCTATGACTGAGTATGACCAATAGGCCCTTGATGTTACAGGTGAACTTGCCCTTTGTTGATATGCATGTAATTCATCTAAAATGCACTAAGTTTGGTATGAGTGTGAAGATCAAGGCGACAGCTTACTCAAAACCTACATGTACATGTAATAACAAACAGGGCTTTCATTAACGTTTTCAGCAGGAGGGCAACTGGTTTTCACATGCAAGCAAAACTATTTGAACTGAACTTCTTTTTAAGAAAAACTATCCACTAGATGGTCAAACCAGGTGGGTAAAATCATCCTCACAGCCGGTCAAATTGCCCAGTACCCAACCCTTAATGAAACCCCTGATGACAACACAGGAGAAGATTTCCATACAGTCACAACCAATGTAGTTTTCTATCTGAACAAAGGTTTCACTCAAGATCAATTAAAAGGTGTCAAAAATGCTAGCTGATATTCAGGAAGTTGTTGAAGCTGAAAAGAGAAAAGCCTAATTGTTGATTCACACTTGGCTGTAGAGTATATAGTGTTTCAATGCAAAATCAGAATAGGAAATGGGAAAGTCTTTGTGTGTCCATGACTCTTACCACATATTTTTGGTGAGTTGTACAGCTGTGCAGTCTTTCTGTACTGTTGTGCCAGTTATTGGTGACACAACATTGTAAACAACAAAAGGACCAAAGCAACCTTCTGTTGTTGAAAGTATATTTATTAGAAGAGAAGAAAGGAACTAACACTTATGATCTGTTGGCTGAAAATCTTTGATCAGTTGCCTGATAATGCCTGACCATTGCCTATTGCTTCACTGTCTATTGGCGCATACATGTAGAATTTAAAAAAATCTGTTAGATAGAGAGGTAAGTTACAAAGTGTTTTGTGAATTAACTCTTGCTCGTATTGTTGTTGTTTAGATGAAAGATTATACCCAAAACTCTTACGTGGGGCAGCGTATGGCTCTTGTTGGAGTAGGTGAGTTTTAAAATACTGATCAAGTTCTATCAAGTGTGTATTGTGCTGTAAATTGCTAAAACTTGACTACTCAGTGGGCTTTGAGCAGAATGTCAGTTGCAGCACAATTAAAATAGCTACTTTTCTTGTTACTGTTTCCAACTTTTGAATGTGTTGGCAGTTCTTTCCTTTGATGCTGTTTTTGCTATTTTACTCTGAAAATGGGATCAACAGAGGCCGTAATATATAGATTTAGGCCAGCCTAAAAGCGTAGCTCCTGGACCGCGTTGTTCAGAGCCAAATAACCAAGGAAAAGGTAGAATTTTGATTTCAGTTTTGTAGCTTTGCGGCACGGTTTACTGTATATTGTTTGGTCTTCTGTTTTGAGTTTTAATAATCACTATATACACAAAACAAAGCAGC